AGCCAGTGAGCGGGAACCGGTCCGTATGTGGGATCCGAACCCTCGGGCGGGAGCGCCGCCCTGAGCTCCCTTTTATAAGCTTCCAGAGGAGGCCTCTGGTCCTCCCTCAAGCCAGTGAAAACGCAAACTTTGAAAACACCTAACACCAATGTCACACAACTGCCCCCAGTGGGGGAAGGGCTCTTCTCTTATATCATCTGCCCCAGACCAGCAGAATCTGTGAAGGGTCCTGCTCCGGGCAGGCAGGGACTGCTGCTCTGGAAGATCCCAGCCCAGGGCAGGGTGAGGGAGTGACCCTAGGGCTTCTCCCCTCAGCAGAGCCAAGGCCTTGAGCTTCTGAGGACCTCCTTGTTTTTTGGAATATTCCATTTAAAACAGGCAAACAGTGTTGGTATTTATGTAGGATGGAAGGATACACGTTGGATGTAGAATTGAAAAACTACATGATATGAATCACTTTGGCTTATTTTTATTTTAATATTGCAACATATATGTATGTATTTATGCTATTTCTAACCAACTGTGTTGCACTTAAGTCTCTCACTTTGAAAAGTTTGTAACTAGGCGTCTCCCGGAGGCAGATGAGCCACCGTCGCTGCACTGGAAGAGGGGCATGGCGGTCTCCCAGCTCGTGGGGGGTCCAGGCCCCGCTTGGCCAGAGGGTGGCTGGGGCTGTCCAGGGCGGGGGGCAGCACCCGGTGTCAGGCTTCCCTTTTTCACTTGTGAGAGTAAAATATGCACATGTTGAAAAATGCAAACAACCCAGAAAACTAAAATGAGGTGTTAACCTCTGTGCACTCTCTCCGCTCTGCACGCCCCACTCCCCACAGAAACTGTCTTTTTCTTTTTGTTCTTCAACTGTGCGTGTGCATCACGCACTCACGCACCTACATAAATCCTATATAAATCCTGCTTGGTCAGCCCGAGACAATCTCCCATGACCTCTTGGCAAGAAAAATAAGGAGCTGAGTCCATTTTCCCCACCGCCTCCATCCCCGCCCAGCTCCACCTTCCCTTGATTTTTCTTAGCTATGTTATTATTTTTAGTTATTCTGCTGGATACCTTTGTGACTTTAAAAGGAAGACTTAAGGCTCTATTTCTGGAAGTACTGACTTGAGCCAGCCTCTCGTGACTCTCCAACATGAGATGAGAACTCCACATCCCGCCCCCACGTCCCCCCTTAGCCACACTGGCACGTCCACATTCTCGAAGTTCATTTACACAACATGAGATTAGAACTCCACGTCCCGCCCCCACGTCCCCCCTTAGCCACACTGGCACGTCCACATTCTCGAAGTTCATTTACAACATCTGCATTTTGCTCTATGACTGCAACTGAGCCATCCATAGGACTTGTCCACAGGTTGACTCTAAAATGACAAACAAATCAACATTTACCACATTGTGATCATGTAGATATTATTCACTGTGGGGCCAAGCCACGAGTGGACCATGAGGACTGAAATGTAATCTATCACCAACTAAACTTGTGCTTCCTAGTGAAGAATTTTCAAACGTTAAGGCAGTATTGATTGCTTTTCTTGAGACTCTATTAACTTCTCAGAACTGTGCATAATTTGGTTCGCTTTAGGTTTGTGTCTTGACTTTCTGCATAGCTTTTTAGAGGGGACACGTAAGGATAATAATGATAATATTTGCAAAGCGCATACCCTTTAGACATATTAAGTAGTCATTCCTCATCTGAGGTAGGTGCCATAATTTGTTCCATTTTGCAGATGAAGAAACTGAGGCACAGAGAAGTCAAGTGACATGCTCAAGGTCACATGGTTTGTCAGCACAAGACCTGCATTTGTACACGGGCACCGTGGCACCGAGGGATACCTCGGCTGCCACGTCTGCTGCTGCATGGGAGCTCCGGCCTCCTATGATGTGACTGAGCAGCAGAGTCCGATCTTCTTGGATCCTCCTCGCTGCAACTCAGACCTACGGCCTCATCACAGCCATGCTTGTTTTCACCAGCTATTTACCCGGCTGTGTTCCTCTCCCTCCAAGCCTGGTTGGCTCATTGTTTGGAGAATCCCACAGCTTCTTAAGTCTTGGACTTCCTTTTTGTTTGACTGAAATATGTTCTCGGATAAATTTCAGTGGCTTGTGTGGAAAGTAAACTTTCTGAGCTGCAGAATGCCTGGAAATGTCTTTCATTTCTCCTCATATTTGATGGATAATTTTGCTGGGTATAGAATTCCGTGCACAGCGTCTTTCTTCTGTCACTAAACCCCAGGGTCTGCATGAGAGTTCCAGTGTCAGGGGATGCTCCTCCTCTGTAGATGAGTGTTCTTTCTCTCTGGAGAGCCCATGGGTTTTTCTTAGCCTTGCATCCTGGGTTAGGTCTGGGCGTGTCTTGGAGGGGATTGTGATCATGCTCAGCCGTCAGGAGCTGTTCCCTTCTGCACACTCTCATCTTTATTCAGCTCTAGGAAATTTTTTCTATTAACTATGTGGTTATATTCCCATCTGCCATCCCTATTTCTTCTGTAACTGCTTCTAAAGGAATGTTCCCTCCTGACTCATCTTCTGGCTTCTGGCTTTTAATTCACCTTGACTTTCAGATCATCAACTTGGTCTTTTGTCAGGCCCATGTTGCTGAGTAACCTATACTTTTTCTTTTTGTAATTGTATTTTTATTTATTTATTTATTAAAAAGATGACCAGTAAGGGAATCTTAACCCTTGACTTGGTGTTGTCAGCACCATGCTCACCAGTGAGCCAATTGGCCATCCCTATATGGGATCCGAACCCATGGCCTTGGTGTTATCAGCACCACACTCTCCCGAGTGAGCCACAGGCCGGCCCCTGTAATTGTATTTTTAATCAAAAAATGCTTTCTTCTTCTCTGCCTGCCCCTGCCTGGCACTGACGTCAAACTGGCTTTACTTTATGTGGCTGGCAGCATGGCCCCCAAGTTGTCTATGTCCCTGGAATCTGGGTGTGTTTTTGTTATGTGGCTAACGAGACTTTGCAGATGTGATTAAGGTTGGAGGCCTTATGATCAGGAAATTATCCTGGACT